TTTTAGGTATGCTGGTCAGGTTGGTTACATAGTAACGGGAATGAGAAACAGAAAAGATGCACAAATTGGGGATACATTTTGTCATGTGACCTGTGATGTTGAACAGTTCCCTGGGTTTAAACCAGCTATGCCAATGGTAAAGTGAACTACTTGTACCACCACCACCATCATCATTATCATCATCATCACTATCATCATCATCACTATCATCATCATCATTATCTTATTGTTTAATGATATTCTAGGTATAGTATAAACATACTGTACGATGTTTTTATCAAGAATGTCGATTTAAGGTCAAATCGCAGACGATCGTTGTGTCTTTRACATGTTTAATAACTCAACTGTAGAATTACAACACATCTCTCCCGCTCCAGAATACAGAATATAGAATGTAGAATGCAYRTGCTTCCTTGCGCATGCTCAATAACATACAAACACGTACAAATGTTACTAACGGGGGGTGGGTTCCGTACACATACTAATTGTATTTGTATATCAGGTATTTGCAGGTGTTTACCCTGTTGACATGTCACAGTACATTACATTAAGAAATGCTATAGAAAAACTAACTCTTAATGATTCAAGTGTAACAATTCACCCTGATAGCTGGTAAGTAACACTTCAAACGCAATCTTCAAACACACTTCAAACACTTCTGCTGTGCTCTGCTCTGCTCTGCTCTGCTCTGCTCTGCTCTGCTCTGCTCTGCTCTGCTCTGCTCTGCTCTGCTCTGCTCTTCTATGGCCTGCTGTGCTGTGCTCTGCTGTGCTCTACTCTGCTCTGCTCTGCTCTGCTCTGCTCTGCAGTGATCAGGTTTAAAATTGTAGCAATGTGACCATGGCCCCAAAGATTCAATGATAATGGGCCATTTTGTTTTGTAAAGGGCCAAGACCATTTTATCATGGGCCATATTTTTTAATACAGCATGAATATTCATAAATATATTTTTTAGACATCATGATTTACTCTTTATAAAATACTATCTTTTTGGAAGTCGAAACAAAAGATTTCCATTTTGTACAACAAGCTCTTTCGTTTTTATTCTAAATCATAAATACAAGTATGGATGAAGTCTTAAATGTCCGACAGCCAGTTGTAAATGAGTTAATTCTTGCATTTTTTGCATTCCGTGCAGAACATTTTTTCTTCTTCGTATTTAAGCCACGGCCAGAGTTTCAACCACTTTTGTTGAAAACATCGGACCTAACTTTTCGATTTGTTGTCAGTTGTGTCAGTCGACTTTTCAGTCATGGAATCACCGTCTTTTGAAGCATCTTTAGCTGTATTGTCATCTCTAGCTGTATTGTCATCTCCAACAGACGTTGATGTTACAAACAAAGAAGAAATTGTCCTTTGACCTGCTATTTTAATCCTTTTCTTCGGTTGTTAAAAATCGCTTAGCCTTGAAATTGAGCTCGCGCGTGCGTGACCATGTGTGCAATTCGTTTTATAATCACAATTCTTATTAGCTAACGTATAGCCAATGGGAGCTCTTCTCTTATTAGATTATCCCTAGTTCCCCTCTCTGACAAGAAAATAAGATGGCGATCGAAATGTTATGACAACGATCTTGTTTTACAATATTTGCAGCTTAACGTAAATTGGTATGCCTTACAAAAACACAGATGGGCCCAATGGCGCAGAGAATTTCAAATAAATGCGCCATTTTCCGTAAAAATGCGACTATGGCGCATGGCGCGGGCGTTTCCCGATCACTGGCTCTGCTCTGCTCTGCTCTGCTCTGCTCTGCTCTGCTCTGCTCTGCTCTGCTCTGCTCTGCTCTGCTTAAGTGTTCAATAATCAATCTTTATTACTATTTAAAAACTGTTTAATTATATTAAATGGCAGTGTTGCACTTGGTCAAGGATGGAGGCTTGGATTCCTTGGTTTCTTACACATGGATGTTTTTAAACAGCGTCTTGAGCAGGAATATGACACAAGTGTTATAATAACAACACCTAGTGTTCCTTATAAAGGTAACTATCTCTCTCTATGTATATCAGACCCTCTTGACATCACTTATCTTACAATAAATACTTGTACTGTTGTGATTGTAGCCATCCTTAAAGGCCAGGATAGGAAAGAAGTAGAAATTCTGAACCCTTTAGAGGTGAGCTGTCTTTTTATTCTTGTTTTATTTCAATCTTCTCTTTATGTAAGTCTTCACTTCTCTTTTTCTAGCTTTACTAAACAGTTTCTAATTGGCGGCGTTTGATATGCATTCAAATTAAATTTCTGTTAAATTGATTGATTTATTGATGGTTTGAGTGATTGATTTTTTATTTTATGACTGATTTTGAATTTTTTATTTTTATATTTTTGCAGCTACCTGGTCCATCCCAAGTTGAAGAATATCTTGAGCCTTATGTGCTGGGAACAATAATCTTTCCTCAGGAATTCATGGGSAAAATGATTACATTGTGTCAGGTATGAAATCATGGCCATTGATGCATTATTTGCAAGACATTCTGTGTGCTGAAACAATCAATTATTTGAAACAAGTGATATCAGAAGTCTTGTTTTTCATTTTATTTATGAGAGTTGCTAAAGTAAGGTGATATTAGAGTGAAGGCTTAAACCCTTGAAAGAAAACTGAACTGTTAAGCTTTGATGGTCAAATAGATCATACATAAAAGCAATGCAGTTGGTATTAATGTGTAATATATGTTTCTATGTTTGATTTGTAGAACAGACGAGGTGAACAGGATGATGTTGTGTACATTGATGAGAACCGTGTCATGATGAAATATCTTCTACCTTTAAGTGAAGTCATTATTGACTTCTATGATGAACTCAAGTCTCTGTCTTCTGGATATGCAAGGTAGGATGATTGATGGNTGTCTATACTATTTGCACAGCTTTGACTATGAAGAGTATGGTTACCTAAAGACAGACATTCACAGGGTTAGTGTACACTCTACTTTATCATGTCTTGTGAAATGATCATTTTATTTACCTGTATGTTTATGTWTTTGTTAGATGGATATTCTGATTAATGGGAACCCTGTTGATGCACTAAGCTGCATTGTYCATAAGGATAAGTCATTATTAAAAGCAAGAAGTCTTTGTACAAGTTTGCGTGATATCATACCAAGGTAATATTAAAAAGTATTATTGACATTGTGCCTTGTTATTGCGTTGTTTAGATGGTCATTGCATATACTGTATATAACATTAATGGTAGTGTTTCTAGAATGGTTTTGATTATTATGGTGCTGATGATGATGATGATAAATGATGATGATAACCACTAACTGTATTATTATTCACAATAATAAATTGATGACTGACAATCAGTGTTATAAGCTCTATACTTTATTGTATCAGACAATTGTTTGAGGTTGCCATACAAGCTTCAATTAGAGGGAAGATTATAGCTCGAGAATCGTAAGTTATCAGAATATCCATGACAACTATTATCCATAATAAATTTCGACTCATTAACATGGCTACCTTATGGCACCATAGCACTTGTGGCATCATTGGCTGTCAAGTTACCTTGCAAAGATATAGCTTCGTATGATGTCATTTTCCTGACGTCAACGAGCCTTGTGATGTTATAAAACATTGTGACCTCTATTACTATATATGTCTAATAAATGATATTTCGTCATTTTTCAGAATACGTCCTTTAAGAAAAGATGTTACCGCCAAATGTGTAAGTATCGATCATTCCAAATTATTTTGTGTCTGTTTGACGACCTCACCTCACTCCATACAGAAAAATGKAATAGTTAAGATAGCAGTTAATAAACAAATGACCCGTAAAACAAGGTGTATCAGTCAAAGCGCAATAAAGAGAAATGAACCGAAAACACAAAGCAAAACGTAAAAAGTAAAAAAAAGTTTATGACACTAAAATATAAGGTGTTAACATATACTAACGGTCCAACATTGATATTGCATTCTGATTGGCTACTCTATCAGAGATATGAATATGAGGACCGCATGGCACTATGATAGAACAGAGATATAGAAATGAAAGAAAGATATAGCGCTTAGAAGGAGGCAATTCCGGGAGAAAGACCCTTAGGAATAAATTCGGAAAAATTAATTTCCGAGATCTGATTTATGATAGACTATTAGTAGAGAAATAGGATCAAAAGAACGAACGCTGATAATTGGTGAAGACATTTGCTTATTGCTTTATCCATTAACATGTTTATATTAAAGCAATCATTTACGGCCGAGTGGATTGCTGCGTGGTAGCCCGTTCATGCTCGTGATCTAATTATTAAATAGTCTACTTCCAGTTTATGAGTTCACCGCCCTCACTTTATTCAAACAAACAATGGCTTKAGAGATTTCAAAGGTGTATTAGTCTCATTTCACGAGTTCTAGCGTGGTCTTCATTAACTCTTGAACACATTAAGCGTACAACACATTTTTACTCTTTATTTTGCTCGTTTTATGTATCACATTACACTTTGACTTTWTTACATTTTGTTTCACGGATTTAGAAAAAAAAACTTAATTTATTAGACTCGATTCTGTAAACCCGTGAAACACTTCTTAGAGTGCTATATACCTTAAAAATCGCGTCGTTTTCTATTAATCCTGGAGTATTAAATATGAATAATGTCTTAGAGACAAAAACTAGTTTTTCATTGATAAAGTAGGTTTTTGCCCCAACTAAACATGAAACATTAGAAGATATTGTTTCTCGGGTTTRAYTTTTTCCTTTATTGTTTCATGTAGTATGGTGGAGACATGACTCGCAAGAGAAAACTGCTAGAAAGACAAAAGGAAGGCAAGAAAAGAATGAAAAGAATAGGGAAGGTAGACTTACCTCATGAAGCATTCCTGTCGCTCATGAAACGATGATATGAATACCATSTATAAATGTACAATATAGGGGACTATAGCACGCGATACTAATTAAAATTATTAATTTTTTGAGGGAGTAAAACTGATTATTCTATTTTTTCTGACACCATCTGATATCAAAAGTAATCAAAAGTCTATCGGAGGTGTTAATACGGCTGCAGCCATTCAAGGAAAATTGAAATTCAAACTACATCAGAAATGTGATCCGGTTATTTTMCTCTTGTTGGTGGCGCAAAAAGCTAAAAATATGAAAGAAAGTGAAARAAAAGGCAAGAAATATGAGAAAGTTTGAAAAATGTAATTTACTTTCTTGTTTGTTATGTCTYATGAAATTACAACCATCGTTTACACCGAAGAAGGCAATGAAGTTCCAGGAACACCTTTACTATACTATTTATGCGTCTTAGTCTTTCTAAAGATCCTGTCAAACCTGCTACTATGTCCTTAMAAGCCCGCTCGGCTGAAATGAATTTAGAAGAGTTTAACACAAAATCCGTACGCCTTTTTAAAACGCAAACGGTGTGGAACGAAAGTGATAAGTGGCATYACCTTTTAACAAAAGCCCAGCGCATCAATTTACAACTAAARGGTGGCGGCGGAGGTAATATATTTTTGTCTAGTTACCACTCAGCAGGTTTTAACAAGTTTTTCAAACTTTCTGAAGAGGAATAATTGTTTTACATAGTCTTCGGTGGCTTTTAATTTATTGAGCGCACAACAGGAAATGTAAAGAGTCCTTGGCCAGCTGCTAACACCTTTTTTACAAATGATACTGTTGTTACGCTCTTTGTCATCAGCATTTTTTTGTGTTTTCTTGTGTTGATAAAATATACACGATTCGTGATGTATTTTCTCGCTAGTTTATGACCAAAAACTTTTTCAAACTGTTCCATTTAAAGTCAGTTATATTTCAATGAAAAAAACGATGTGAAATTCTGAAAAAAATGGGAAAAACAGAAAGTAAAATGAAGTAGACAAGATTGAATTAAAATTTGTTAAATTTTTGAAAGGGTTAAACTCTGTTAATCTGAAATATGCTACATTAAACAAGTTTCTGCGATACAGATAAAATATTGCCTTTAAGCCGTTCAACACCTATCAATTGTGATTGTATATCTTTACTGTACGATTTGTTTATGTAAATATTTGTAGTACGGGCACGTTTCAAGTACTGTTTGTAAAGCCAGATGTTTTTGTCCAAAGACTTTTAACTACAACCCCGTTATAATCAATTCAAATTGTATCATTTGAAAATTTAATTGGATCTCTCGCATTTCACTTTAATTTAGTTTGTTTTTGTTTTTAGCAAGGTTTCTTTTCTAACCAAAAAGTACAATCTCATTATAGTTTTTCATGTTTATTTTGTTTGTTAATGTAATGCCTTTGTTTTCTTTTCATTTATTCAATTGTCCCAACCAGGAAAGTCGTACCATCACTCGCATGATTGCAGCAGATTAAACTGGGTCCCTATTTAACGCTTAATAATTTTTTGTACTGTGTATTCATTCAGTGAAGAAAAGCTCAAAATATTCAGTTTTTATCATATTTTCATCCTTTTATATTACCGTTATCATTCGTTATCAATAAATCGAATCGTACGAATGAGATTTTCAAGAATTCATGACTAACTTTATGAAAAGCTTTCCACGATGATCAATAYTCCCTTGTAATCCCACGCCTTTTTTTTCGTGTTCAATCTGTTTATATCTATTTTCCTTGTTGTTTTTTGGTRTTAATGTAATAACTTGTATCACGATCGAGCGGAAAGGTTGTAGCACCTATAATGATGCGTTGGTTGGTCTCAGTATGGTGTACGCAGCAAGCTATTTCCTGATTGCTTAAGAAATAAGCACAACTAAAAATGGACAATGAGCGTGGTRACTTCAATGAAAGATCATGCGATGAAAAGCGTCGGGCTTAAGAACCCTGATAGATTATAGAAAAAGCTGTACTAATAGAAAACTAAGTTAAGGTAAGAATACAGCAAATATTTAACTGAATATACAGCCAAATACGATAGATTTGAAATRAATTGATGATGACTCTGAAATGACTTTCATTGAAAACGATGTTAAAAAGATAAATCAATAATGAATAGTAAAGGAAAAAAAAATTCAGAAAATATGAACTAACTAAACAGAATACTTGTTTCTTTCCAAAAAATGAACTCTTTCAACTAGCRTGTCGGTGATGAAAAAAAAACTTAAAGTGCTTTCTTGTCTTACGTTTAGTTTGTAYGGTCTATCCATGAAACATCTACATATAGTGAGCATGACGTTTCAGATACATGATCTAAATTACTACTCGATTTAGTCGTAAAAGGAAAAATATGAGTGTTTCTACAAAGTACGCCATGTTTTTTTACATATTGTTCTGGAAAKAATTCTTGCAACAGTACAGATATTTTCTATTATACTGTCCAATAGGGCCGATACGAGGATGTTGATCTTATAATAATTTTACATCTCAGCTTATTGACAACTGGTAAGAATTACTGACAACAATTTGATACTGACAGCAGAAGTGCATAACCTCTGCTGACAGCAAACATTGTGTCTCCTGAACGTTCAGCCACATAGTCTGAGTGACAGCTGATATTAGGAAATGAATGATAAAAACAAAAGTGTAAAAAACTAAACTCATAACTGAAAAACTCGCGACAGATGGTTAGAAGCTGACCCGGTAAATCTCCGCTTATGATTTCAGGGTATTATGACATCCCACTTCTTAATTTTCGTTGGTTTAATGCTATGGGTACGCACCGTTACATGTGGGAGACTTGACGAACAACTTTGTGCAGATCTTGTGCATAAGGAATGTAAATGTGACATTGCGCATGCGCGTGTCACGAGGAAGAAGACTGATGTATGCCGTAAACTCCAGGTAATATCAATAGATCCGTATCCTGGAATCCGGAATCAATTTTTTTGGAATCCAGAATCCAGCGCTTGGAATCCGGAATCCTCTAGTTCTCTGGATTCCATTAGATGGGGCGAATCAATGAGTTAAGTGTTTGGTTGTTTTGCAGTCTTGCGGTGAGTGTATGGCAATCCCAAGATGTCAGTCAAGATACCTCGATGAATATAGATCTCTATTGCTGACTACTGTGAAATTTAGCCGACTTACATCAATATGTCCTGATATACAATACAAAAAACTACTACGGAGCATTAAAGGTATTAATAGGGAACTTGATCGCAATAAATCTTAAATAAGCGTCTAGAACTGATCTGAGCTAAGTACTTATGGCAAAATGGATGGCTGGACTTAGGCACGTGATCTCTAGAGGTTTCAGATCTTCAATATGTCTTTATGTTGTTATGTGGTATTTGAAATAGTTTTACCAGCCATAACCCCAATCGCTTCCACAATGATAGTCGTTGTGCTGACTATAATGCCATGTCTAAGTATTATTTTTACATTTGATACAGATAATTATTTTCAGTTCTGTTTCTTGACTTTTCTTCTCGCCTCCCTTAGCTTCAAGACAGAAGTGTTCAGACGGAAAAGTCTACACAGATCGTTGTGGCGAACGGTGCAAATGTCAGGACGGGCGTTACGTATGCTATCGCGTACGTAAAGAATTTACGCAAATGAGTTTCTCAGAACGCCGTCGTTACGTTAGTGCTTTCTACAAAGCTACTACGGATCCGTACTACAAGGATGCGTTTGAAGAGTTGTTAAACGCTCATTCTTCGATGCCAACTCTATATCTTCACCACATGCCACAAATATTCCTGCCTTGGCATCGATGGTATTTGATAAAAATCGAGGACTTCCTTCGCCATATTGATTGCCGTATAACCTTGCCTTACTATCAATGGACTGCGCCTGCTCAGCCTTTCCAAACTGATGACCCAAGAAGTGTTTGGAGCGCGGGCCCAGAGGGTCTTGGTGGAAACGGTGTCCCCCCGGATTGGTGTGTAAAGACTGGGGTTTTCCGCGAGGGGAATTGGGCGTTACCAATCAATAAAGGCGGKGGGTGCCTTAAGAGGAATTTTAACTTCTCATGTGCTCTTTACGATGACGATTATCTTGATAAAACCCTACAAGACAATTTCACGATGTTTGAATTAATCGTAAGAGAAAAATTACATAATGATTTTCACGACTGTGTCGGAGAATTGATGCACGAACACGTGACAGCAGGAAACACACCGGAGTTTCTCCTTCATCATTCRTTCATCGATAAGATATGGGACCATTACCAGTCTGAAGGCAACGACAATAAGTTCGCATATTTTACATCWCTCAATATACGAATGCCACAAGCGGACCGCTTTCCATGGGAATACCTTGATAATAACAATCTTCCTGGCGATGTAAGAGTACAATATMAAGAATATCAAAGACCTTAGTTGTGTTAGAACTATGGAGTAACTTATTAAGGTGTTTAATCGTAATAATTAAATAGCACGTCAAAAATTTAGGTTAAGATTTTTTTCAAACTTCGTTAGTATGTCAATTATGTTATTAGAAAATGATTCTGAAAATTGTATTACAACAAGAAAATATCTCTGCGATGAGTTTCGAGAAAATTAACTTTGAAGAAAAAATTAAGGTGTTTTTATTTTGCATCGTATATCCAAATGGCTTCATTTTTTGGAAAATTAATTTATCAACAAGGATTATTGATAATCACTGTTACTTCTCTTAAAAATTGCAATTAAAGAGTGCAATCGAATCGAAATTGGCGGCCTAACACCTTAAGTATATAGTACTATATAGTGTCTTATATGTCTAAGGGAAAGGACGTTTATTATTGGTGGGAGGGCTTGAGCCTGAGGGGGGAGGGGCATTAATCAAATTTGAAAGCTTAAGAGGACTGCAAGTTTGCTGATATCCAATCAATCTCAGCCCAACGTGACGCAGTTGTCTCACTAGCCACTCGCTTCGAATTTTCAGTTTTTGTTCATAGACTGCTGACCACAAGCAGTAGAMTTCAAAACTTTAGAGTTTAAAGTCGGGTATATTGTTATTTCTTTCAAGACAGTAGTAATTGAAKTATAATGAGGAAATTAATAGTCTAGCCTAATATATCATATAATTCATGAAATAAAAAACAAAGATTCTATATATATTGTACTGATTTTGATTGGAATTATATTGAAACTTACAAGATTTATCTATGAAATACTTCTCCACTACGTAAAGTTGGTGGTGTCGTGGCTTTCGTGCTATCTCTACCAGGGGCGGATCTAGGGGGGGTGAATAGGGTGGCTAGCCACCCCCATTTTTCTAAGCTCTTCTTCCTTTTTTTCTCTTATCCCTCAAATATTGAAATATTAATTGATTTCTCCAAAGACTGATTGATTCTACCTACTATTTGCCGAGCATTTATGGAACTCCATCCAAGGAGGATGATGGAACAATCACTTTTGGGGCAGTAAATAGCCTAGATGACATTAGTGGGTGTAATGTATATTCGTGTGTACACGGTAAACTCTCATTGTTCTTGATAAATACTAGTTTTAAACGTGAGAGATTATTTGCTTCAAGTGAGCATTGCGTACTAAATTCCGCTTAAATTTGTTCAAGAAAGAGTTACTAMAAAGGCCCACAAAACGCTGCAAATCGCATGTCCGAGAGTCTGGATTTCAATTTTTCTCGGGGGGGATGCCCCCCAACCCCCTAGGGGCTCCCGGCTTCGGCGTTTGGCTTCCATTTTATTACATTATTTTAGCAATTCACCCCCCACTTCAAAGTCCTGGATCCGCGCCTGCTCTATATATTGGAAGTAAATGCAAGTTATTTGAAAACAGTTTTATTTCATAGAAAATTACATGATAAATAGAATTTTACATGGTCGCTTAGAGATACGAATTTTATCTTCTCGTGTTGTTCGATCACACGTAGAGGTCTTTTCAACACTCGAAGATAAAATCCGTATCTCCGCACTCCGTCCTTGTGATATATTTTTCTTAGATTGGAAACTATTTATGGTAACGACAGGAAAAAAGGCATTAACTAATTCCAATATTCTATATATCACTTTCATATTCAAGGAATAGTTGACTAAGCATTACTAGCAACCGTGTACGCAACTCATCTACAGGTGCATTTGTTCTACAAAAAACTAGTACATAGTCGAAAAAAGCGAAATTTTTAGCCGCGAGTCCTTGATACGTACCCCATAGAGACCCTATTATGAGGGGGCTAATAAAGTTTTTTTTTTCTCTCCTTAATTGGGCATTATGGAGTATCCACATAATATTCATAACTGTCTAATTAAGAAAAATAATTGAAGAGGTACCTATTTAGGATTAATGATTGAGTTCAGAAAAAGTTGAACATCCAAAGACCGCAATGTACGTATTGTTGCAATTAACTTCACATTTTAGATGCGTCACAAAATGACAAACTAATTGCTTTCCACTGAARATTTTGACGGAGCTGGTATAGTCACTCTTTAACCACGAAAACTGCTTTTGAACGGCGATAGAATGACCGACAATGCAGTTCGGTCTTGGAATACTTAATCTTTAAGTATTAAATGTTTTCTGAATTAGCTGTATACTCTGAAATTATTAGTTTTATGGAAGGGTTTGTGGATTCTTAATAATATTTTGRAAAAAAATTAGCTGATTTCAAAGAGAAATTAAGGAAAGTTTAAAACTGCTGATTCTTGAGMTTTTTTAAGACCAATTTTTCTTTCGTTTTTTTTTTCTATAAAGATTGCAGGAATCACCAGGTAATCAACCAGGCATGTTTTTACATATGTTTTGCACATTTTATTTTCATTTAATCTTTCTACTTGGGTGTTTGTACTTTGCAATTTCAAAGAGGAAAATTCTTTTCAAGTTTCAAAAATATTGCGGCTCAATCGGATGACTTGCCGTTTAAGTATTGACGTCATGGGCCTATATTGACGTCATGCGCCTATATTGTGTAAACGTGACATAGAGCACCTAGTAACTCTCATATACTCGATTTTGGCTTATCAATTGTCGATATGAAAAGTGCGTATGACTGTGCTTTTATCCTAGACTGTATTCGTGTCTTTGCCTAGTTCCCCTTAATTAATTTTATTACAGCTCCCCCCACCCTCTCGCTCCCCCCTCCCCCAGGCTATATAGGTTAATGCATACTAAACACTTGAGTTTCGAACAAAGCCTCCGCGATGGCGCGCGGATGGCTGCAATATAGAACAAAGATTTATATTTAGTCTGAATATTTATTATAATAAACTAGCTTGTGGTTCCCATAAACCCGCGAAATGAAGCGTGCAAAAGTCAAAGTGTAGTAAAGTCCGATTCACCGAAAAGACAAAGAAAAAAAAAAAAGAAAGTGAAGAGAATAACGTTAAGTAAACAAATGACCGATTATTAGTGTTCACGCGGTTTAGCACACATTCTAATTGCTTTTAACACTTTGTTTCAGAGGTTTATAAAAAACACTCTAAACTAGTTTTATATCAAGTCTTTTGATAGTAAAGCACTAGCCTCCTAACCTAATGTGATAATTGGACTTATCAGATTTTTAAGGATTTGTCATTATACTGCTATACAACAAGCTCACTGATTGGAGCCGTCCTAAGGTATTAAAAAAATAAATCAGACGTCTGTATTTTAATGAATTGAACTCTCTGATTCTCACTATCGAAGCATAACGAATACTGAAATGATTTGGAGGGAAAAATAAAAAAAACTTGTCATCGAATAAAACAAGCTCAATGACTCGCTTCACAAAAGTCAAAGGTTTAAATATTACTGTATATCATAATCAGTAACAAAACAAAGCTGTATAAATCAAACCTTAGAAAGTTTCCACAACCTAGTATATAAATGATATARTAGTGGCAATTGAACAAAAAAACAAAAATTTCAAATTCAAGGTCGGTTTGATGGATTTTTTATCAGGGAAACATAAGGGAAACATTGCGGATTGCTCAAAAAGTAAAATGAAGATTTGAAGTATTGGTGGATTTAGATAACTTTCTTGTAGGGAAGGATTTTTTGTGTTCCGCATTGTAGATTCCAATACCCCCCTCTTCTATATTGATGTCTGAATTTGAAGATTCCGGAATATTCAATGCACTACTGTTGAGTTGAACTGTCTTAGCTCACTGAGCTGAATAATCATTCTCTGAGCCTGTTCAAAGAGTCATGTTATGTCTGTTTTTTCGCTCAAAGCAGATTCTGGCTCGCACAAGGACGTTTTGAAAAATATTGCCATCAAACTTCAGGTAATCATTTAGTATTTACAATTTCTGATATGTTGATATAAATTGGTTGCATTTAATCTATGAAATTGTACGAAATCAGTATATCAAAAATTTCTACAGTTATCTGTGAATGAAACAGACTCGCTGTTTGTTTCTTCACGATGATCAATTACTAAACTGCACAACATAGAGGTTATAGAGCTATAATACAATTTTATTGATAATGATCGTTTACACTACTGTCTTTTATATGTCGTTGTTTACTGAACAACTTTTATAAAATCTATCATACATCTTAGTCTATACATGTTTTTGAAGAAGTCAAATCAGGTATAGTCTCAGGCTACCGAGTTATAAGGCCTATTTGCGATATTTCAATTTTTAGGTATAAATATATTTTTTTTATATTCATATCATTTTAATGAAMAAATGTATCAATTAGGAAAGAAAAAGTTTCGAAACTTGTGGCTGTCATGAGATTAACACTGCCAGAAGACTAAAGTTTTTAGCAGCTTGATTTAACTTTCGCTCTGTTGTAATTCAAAAGTTTTCATAGAAGAAAAAAGATTGCATCTTTAATCATAGTTAGTCTACTAACTGTGCTTTAATGAATTGAATATCTCACTATCGAAGCATAACGAATACTGGAATGATCTGAAAAAGCAAAAGAACAAGCTCTAGTGTAATTTTGCGACATGCAAACTATAATGTACGAAGGAAGATACTTACCCTGAAATATTTCAATTAGAATAAACATTGTTTTCGCTCAAAAAATGAGTTGAAATTTCAGAAATTCTTTTGTGAATGAACCGTGAAGTCTTTGTCTGTCCGGAATAGTCTTCCTTTAGAAGAGTGAGATTCCGTCACTAGAAACGAATCAAACAACAAGAAAAAACATGTTATATACTGWGTATCTTATCACAGAGCGACTGAAAGTACTCGGCATTACTGGCCTTTGTATAGTTTACGTTGATGTTTACTTTTTCCGCTTTGCCGTGTTCAATTGACGTTGAAAGCGAATGARCTTAAACGCTGAGGTTTCTGTCTAATAGTTATGTATTAGAATTCATCAATATACTTTTTGTATGTGTTTTCATACATTGCCAATCGTCATTGCACACCTTATTCTCAATGAAAACACATTGGCACCTAACAGTCATCTCTACGGGTTTTGGTCCCTTAGAGCAAGAGACAAGTGAAGTTTATCAAAATTCAAAGAAAAAATAGAGTTATTTCCATCCGTCTGTGAAACAATACTCCAATTTCGAGGTCTGGTTTGCTCTGTGTTAGCCTCAAAACCAAGTAACATATCCTTTTGTTTCATTAATAGCTCGAGAAAATGCATGGAATTTGTGAAGAAARACAATAAATTTGATTTGAAATCTCACACTTTTACGCTCAAAATAAGGAATATTTWGCGCMCAAATGAGGCTAACACAGAGCATTGGAGAATTCGAAACTGGAGTATTACTACTAGTCAGTGTTTAATAGTAACTATTAGGGTGTAGTAGGCTACCAAAAGGTAAAATCGAAACCATGGCTTTGCCTAATTAGTTTGTCGCATGTCATATAAGTTAAACTATTGGGAGCTAATAGGGGATAATAGTATTTAATAGTACAATTCCTATAATTTCATAGACGGATGAAAACGACTCTACTAATATAATCTTGAAATTGATAAGTGTGTATTATAATTCATTCAACGCGCCCTAAAAGGTGGGGTGTCAGATCAACCATTCAAAAGGTACTTCATAATGAGGGTCTTGATTTTTGACCCTAAAAAGTGAACGCATCGAAATGTTTCGAACAACATTTTACTCCGACGAAGGATTTAACGTCTGAAACAGTTGTGTAAAGAAGATAAGTTTAACACGGTAAAAAAATATGGGAAATAACTTACTGACGTTTCGGATGCATGTTAATCCTTCGTCGGAGTAAAGAAACGTCAGTTTTTTTATATTGTATATATACATCTCGCTGTAGTAATAATTCAGTCACTCAATTTAAGTTTTAGATATAAACTGCGAGGTTCTTCCAAAGAATGGCTACCTCATCTCTTCTCATGTTGGTGGTGTTTTCTCTCACGATATCAATAGTGATGATCAGCGGTGCAGTGGTCGACAATTTGTCATGCGCTAATCATGTCCATAGGGAGTGCAAGTGTACTTTTCATAAATTTGTATCGGGACCATTGGACAAAACATTGTGTTCTAAATTACAGGTATGCATACAGATACACTAGAGGG